ACTCACTGCAGTCTTCTCCTACAGGAGATACACTGACTACCAGTGTATTTCCAAATGCAATTCAACACGGTCATCACATGTAAAATGCAATATGGCTCAGGGTTTTGATATTTGCCACCAATCTCAGATTCTGCCTGCCAAGTCCAAGGGAATAGACAACAAGGCCCTGTGCTCAAATCCAGAGCCCTGGATATATGATGGAACCCATTTCCTGCCTGAGTTGAGGGATTTTTAATGATTCTCCGGCTGATGTATGTATTTTATTAGCTTATATTTGTGTGTGTGTGTATGTGCATGTGCGTTTTGTGGGAGTGTGTGTGTATACATAAATATATAAAAGTTGTGAGCTTCCCAGCTTCATGTACAGGTAGTCCTCAACTTACAACCACAATTGAGCTCAAATTTTCTGTTGCTAAGCAAAACATTTGTTAAGTGAATCTTGCCACATTTTACGACCTTTCCACTTAATACCTGTTAAGTGGATCACTGCAGTTGTTAAATTAGTAACATTTAACTATCTGTCTTCCCCATTAACTTTGCTTGTCAGAAGGTCGCAATAAGTAGTCACGTGAGCCCAGGTCATTGCAACCATCATGAGTCAGTTGTCAGGCATCTGAATTTTGATCATGTGACCATGGGGATGCTGCAATATGAAAAATGATCATATTTATGGTGCTTATAATGTCACTTATATATTGATTATCTTTGCAAACCTGTTAGAGTCTTATAGGATTGTAATAGTCTGAACACTTTTAAGGAAATTTTTATACCTCTGCATGTGTCTTTATTTCCCAAATATACAACTTATCATTTTTTTCTGATAAATTTCATTCTGTTACTTATTTCTCTAATTTCTTAGATCATTTTGAACATTATTTCTAACTGTTAAGATATTAAATATGGGCATCTGCAAAACATTAAAACGAAGGGCACAATTTTAAGAAATTAGCATGAATCTGTCATTTTTGCTCAGGTAGCTTTGTTAGATTTGGGGAATGTAGAAATAATATATCTTGATTACAGCAAAGCATACAATGAAGTATTGCATGATAAGCTGAACACAAGCAATTAAAACTCCACATCTTCTTAAGTGGTTATGTTTGTGACATAAAAATGAGATGTGGTGTCAATCATTCTCGTTCCCCACTACCATTTTGATGTGGTTAATCCCCCTGCCCCCTGGCATATATCTCAATATTAAATACACCATATAATCTGCAAATATATTCTATTTACCTCTTATCTAATAATATTAATTTGAAGAATAGAGGATTGGGTATTTTTATTTTTCCAGTATCCCAAATTTTTTCTGTTTGATGGAGAATTGTCAAGGAGCATTCTGAATATAGTTTTTGAGTTAGTTGTGAAACTGAAATCCAGCCTACACTTAGCTTGCTAAATCAGGATGTCATGCAACATATCACTATATGCTTTGCTGAAATATTACTACAATCTACTTAGAAACCACCTGAACAAAAATAAGGTTAATTTGGCAGATTTGCTGTTGACAAATCCATGCTAACTTCTTACAATTGCTGTATTGTTGTCAGAGTGGTTACAGAGTGACATCTTTATGGTCAGCTCTATAATCTTTCAGGTATTAATGTCATATTAACTATAGAGCCTCTTTTTTTCTCTCTTTTTGAAGATAGCAGCAATATTTGCCCTACTTCAGGGATCAGACAAGTTCTCCAATGAGTTCTCAGAGGTAATATGAAATAATACAGAAATAATAATAGAGGTTTAGCCAGACTTTTAACTAATTCCCATGCAAGGATGCAGTTCCTTAGATATTTAAATTCATGATAAAAAGATACCAAGCTTCAACCTTTCTCTTCATCTTCTCTTCATTGTTGCCTGGTAGAACATGTTGAATAGGAGTCAAGGAGCTTTCTCTTCTCTTTGATACTTTCGTATCACGAGTAAACAAGCACATATTTTAGATTTCAGGGAAGCAAACTGTAATAAATAAGAGATCAGTTGGATTCCATTCCAGAAATAGGCATGGAGAACTAGAAAAAAAAAGGGGGGGGGAACAAATGAGAAAGAAAGCAGAATGATTGCAGAAAGAGAATGTGGGAGTCCAGTTGTTTTGGTTTTTATATATATATATATATATATATATATATATATATATATATATATATATATATTAGCCTGCCTTTTTCCCCATACAACTCAAGGAGGCCAGTATATTACAATGAAATGAGTTATCGCAATGTGCCTAAGTCGCTACATATTTCATGATAGTTTAGTGAGTAAATCATAGCTGAATTTCTACAGTATTACAAAAGACATATGGTTTACAAGACACAATGGTTGGGTAGGCATAACACTCTATGGCATAGAACACCAAACAACCAAAGTTAAAGCAAGCCACGTGTAGCTATATAAAAGCCTAAGAATTTCCACTTGTGAAAAGCATTAGCCCACGTAGGCTCCCCTATTGGCCTCAAGAAAGTAGATGTAAAACTGGAAAGCATGAACTCATTTCCCCTTGATATTTTAATTATGGATGGGATTCTTCTGGATTATCCTGCTGTATGAATGTCAACATACATGGTCCAATCAGCATGGAAAGTTTAAAGAAAAGCCTTGGACAGAGATCATGCAACAAAATCTCAGAAGATTTTATCAAGGATTATCAAAAAGAAGGCTAGATTTTCTTACTGAAGTGGAAAGTTAGAAACAGAGTTTAAAAGAAATGGAGGCCATGAACTTTGATGGAGCACCCATGGTAGTAAAATCTGCTTAACCAGGGCTTTAATCACATTGATGGAAAGCATCAGATTGGTGGCTTTCCTTAGCTCTGCTAAAGAGATGGGGGTTTTCTGCAGTCACTACGATAGTACAGTTATTTTCTAGAGCAGTTAAAAATTTCCTAATTTGACTCAGCTTTTTAAAGGCTTATGTTGCCTCAATTTGCAGTTGATGCACACCATGCTAAATCAAGATTATTTAATCAGCATTTCCTGAATATTATGCAAAGACCTAACTGTTTAGAGAAAGCTCTAATACTGGGAAAAGTGGAAGGAAAGAGAAGAGGATGACCAGCAGCAAAGTTGATGGACTCAGTGACAGTGGCCATTGGGGCACTATTAGAAAACCTGAAAGATCAAGTTAGAGATAGATCGACAGAGGAAATCTGTGTGGTCACTAAAAGTCAACAAGAACTTGATGGCACTTAGGCACAATCATTTATTGAATAATCTGCAACTTGTTGGATTTATACAAAAACATTGCTTATAAATTATCAGGGCTGCTTTCGTACATTATGAGGTACAGTACTGAAACATCTGAAAGCAATCTTTATGTAGCTTTTACAGACTTTTTTAAACTACCTCTAGTGCTAAGAAAGGTATTTTTTTATTATGTATTTTATTTTAATTATTTTTCTAATTTTGATATGTACTGCCAAGGAATATGAAAAACAGCACGCACACAAAAATATGCAAGTAGTTCAATGAACTGCATGACTGCTGTGTAAACTGCACGTCTGAATGTTTATCCATCATTTAACATTTTCTAGGTTTGCAAAACACACCGAATCATAAAACTAAACCATGATCTTCATAAAATCAACCCCTTCCCAACTGATTCTTGGGACTAAATTGAGACATCCATGCTATTTCTTGTTACTTTCAACTGTCTTTTTGCAACTTCCAGATCTACTGTACAACCCATGCATTTCCTAGATCTCATCTAAGTTCCAACCAGGCTAGTAAACGGACTAGCTTTTTTTCAACTCAGACAAGGCTGGTTTACTTTGTTGCTGTTACCTACTTATCACTGCTAGCTAGACTCAGAAGTGAAAGTAATCTTAAAATAGGACAACACCGTACAGAAAGTAAACTGCTCTTACTCTTGCTAAGAAAACAACACAACATTGTTACATCAAGCACTTGAATTTTGATCTAATCAGATATCAGGTTTGACTCAAGGGAGAAATTACCTTTTTTGCAAAAATGCTAGGCTAAAATACAGTGTACAAATGCAGCTCTTAGGAACGAGGCCTGTTGTTGCATTGTCCTATTTGTAAGCTTTGCAGAGACAACCAATTGCTCATTGGTGGAAAGAGGATGCTCATAGAAACAAAGTTTGGTTCATCATTTATGACACCCTTTTGGGCTCCTCCGGCAGAGCAGACTGGAACAGCAGCGCTATCCCAGGGAAGTGGATTAGTGTCCTCCTGGTTTAAGAAAGAGGGGGATTCTCCATTTCCTTCCTGAAGAAAAAAGCTCTGTTTGCATTAGTCAACTCCAATCACCCTGGAATCTATGAACCCAGGTAATGAAAATCATTCCAACTTTATTTAGCTGATGGTGTAAGTAGAGAGAAAAAAGTATTTAGGTTGGGCAAGTTTGTCATTACTCCTGTTCCTCAATGGAACGATTTTCTCGGCTCCTTAATGCATTCGACTTATTTGCTCCGGTTTTTTTAACATATATTCAAACAAATTCATGTTATGTTTTCATCATTTCCGCCCATTCCCAATTATAAACTACACTGATCTCTTTTTAATAATATCACTACTGGGAGAAGTAGTGAGTATACTGGAAGGAAATTTGGTGCATATATTGCTTCTCAATTAATTGTGAATCACATTCTTTCCGGATTAAAAGAATTCTTTCCCTTACAAGGCAGTCCTTAAAAACGAAAGGGTTAAGTTCGGAGAAAAATAATTTAAGTTCTCAGTGTCGCGCCCACGCCATCCTTTGCCTTATTTTTTTTCCCTCCTTCCTTGTGCAAGGTTTTACTTCATGGCTTTATAAATGTGTGCTTTTAAAATAGGACTGCACCATAAGTGAAGGATGGACGGATTTGTTGATTTTTAACATCCCGTCCTTCCGCACCTTTATTTGCAAGATGCTGCTGTGATTTCAGTAGAGTTTACACCCGAGGAGGTATGTTTCGGAATTGTAACTCCGACCTGCTAATCCAGCCCAAAGCACTCGCTGTCCTCAAACACAAAAATGGAGGGTCTATAAATACGATTTATTCCCAAACGGTCTATGTTGGAGTTTTGGACTACGATTCCCAGCATGCCGTCTTCCATGACAGCTTCTTCTGATTGGCCGCTCGGTGTTCTAGTTGGAACTCGGCATGTGGCTGCTGCTGTGTTGGGAGGAAGGCAATATTTTTGCAGGCTTTATATGTATGTATATATGAGAAAAGGTAAGTGAACTCTTCTGCTGCTGCTACTCTCTTTAGAGTGGGATGTTTTCCTTCCTTTTAATTCTTCCCCCCATTTCTTTGTTCCTGATCTAGTTAATTGTGAGCGTTGCCCTGAAGCAGCTGCTTTCAAAAGGCATGTTTTATATTGATGTGTGTTTAGGGAAATTTAACCAATCTGAAACTGGAAAAGCAAGATTTAGTGATGCATTGAAGATGATCCCAAAGGGATAAAGAAATATATGCAGCCTGAGAGCTGTGAAAACACCAGTAGTGATTTTTCCTCCATGAACATAAATGCTTGCTACAGTATTTCTGTTTCTTCTTGGAGAGGAGCTTTATTAACAAGCAAAAAAAGTGCAGTCTTAATTTGGGAAGAATGTATTTGCATTATCATTTTTATTAGCAGGTATCCTTGAGAGGACTGGGGTCTCTTAAAGTCATTGCAAAGAGAAAAATGTGAGATGCTTGGGTTGTTTATTTCAATCTTGTTTTGCGTTACAGTTGAAATGCTGCTTTTTTCCCTCTTAAGTTTGTCCAGAATGGGTTAGGAAGTTGTTTTTCTTCTTTCAAAAGCAGATTCTGACATTTTGAAGGACATGAAAAGCTTTGCATCTTTTTCGTTAAAAATAGTGGGGAAATTTAAGACTGAAAATTATATATGCAATAATTTCTAAACAGCAAAACTTTAAGCTATGATTTTAAAATGACTGGAAAATTGTTTGTGGTTTGATTTCACTTTCAACCATCACAACATTGCCAAGGATGATCTGAAAAAGAAAATTGTTTGGACACTGCAGGTGGAGAGCTACCCATAAAATTCTTCATTTTTCACACCTGTATTTTTCAAATTAAATAGGCTAAGGTTCAGGTGGACAGCATCAAAAAAGGCAGTTGACCTCAAATTCTCTCCAAGTTAGTTTCTTTTCTTTTTTAAACATTTTTCTTGCTTTTATGGGTGGCATCTGTGAGCCAGAGTAACAATAAATAATTGAATCAAAAGATAACCATCTCTGAGGAGTTTAAGAGTATTTTTCAGCAAAAAGCTTGAGCAATCAGGCTAGTTATAAAAATTGAGCAACCTCTGGATGAATAAACGGGGACTGCATGAGGAAGAATTGCACTCTCTTTATATGCCAAAGTGTAACGTACATGCAAGCACATGCAGCCAATCTGCAAGATGCTATTTTGTATTGCAGATACTTTCTTTGTGGGAGGACAGGGGAAAAGAATGAGGATTATATTACTGACAGTTGTGTCTACACAAATGTGAATTTTTACAAGCAAGATTTGCAAGATTTCTTGGAGCTTGATCCTTAAATTCTGTTTTCAGTACAAACCTCAACTTTGAAATGTGATGAGGCTGGGGCATGTCTTAAATATGTCTTTTGTCATGATGTAAAAATATAATGTCTATCTAATCAAGTCCTGGTGATTTCATAGACATAGTTGTGTAGTTTTCTTGGTAATATGAAACCTGTTTGTATTACATTGCTTTCTACCAGAACATTGTTTTGATTTTCAACTTAAATGTATAGTCTATTTTCCTAATAGTCTCTCATCTAAGGGCTAAACATCTTTCCTGATATCCTGGTGGTCTCCGACCCAGTGCTTACTATGTCCAACCTTGCTTAGCTATTTGAAATCAGTCAAAATCAGCTAATTGCTGCCACTATTGAAGTACAGCAGTGTTTCCCAAACTTGACAATTTTAAGGCATGTGGACTTCAACTCCCAGAATTCCACAGCCAGCGTTGCTGGCTGTGGAATTCTGGGAGTTGAAGTCCTCATGCCTTAAAATTGTCAAGTTTGGGAAACACTGAAGTACAGTATAAGCAGAATCCAGTTTATGAGAAAGTAGAAAAGATTTTCAGGCAATTCTGAGTCCTGACACTTTTAACGATCAGTTCCATTCACAAATTCACCATTTTTGTCTTTATTCTTGTACCCAGAAAGGAAAGTTATGGATCAGGAAATTGCTTAGTCAGATGTTGTTCTATCCATAAGTGTCCTGACTGCTCACAGGCAAACTGCCTGGCAAACCACTTTCACCTGGACATAAGCTTTCTGTGGGATTTGAGAAGAAATTATCTCTTATCTCACCTTGCAATCCTGGGGAACTGGGTAGCTCAGAGACTACCAGGTGAGGTGAGCAGGACTTTTTCCTTGGCCACAATTGTTTTGACCAGAACTTGATTAGAAAATTTTATTTTTTATATTGTGGCAAAGGACAATTTGATTCCCTCACCATTCCCCAAGAAGCTGGTCATGTTTTTTAAACTACTTTCCACACTGCAAAAATAAACCATAATAGGTGAAATGCATGGTGCTTGCTAACTGCTGTTTTTAGCATTCCCTCATGAGCCAGTAGGAAGAATCATTCCCAGTTTAAGAAGAGACTGAGTGCTGCACAGCAGCTTTACCCAGTGTTTTCAGTTTTGGAAGGTGGGGTGCACACAACACCAAGCTGGGGCTGCATAGAGGAGGTCTCAATTTTCCCAATCCCAAATATGTAATATGATGCTTAAGTTTCCTTGAAGTGATTGTCGGGGGAAAAAATTACAGGTAAAGTGCTTGGAACACTCAAAATCACTATAGAAGCCAAAGTAGTAAGGAAGAATAATACAGAATTTAAGCAAAGATAGTTGTCTGTTTTGCCTTACACTTTGTTATTGAGTCGATTAAGGAATTTTTAAGTTGTTTTTTAAAAAGTTGAGTGTTACTTGTTTTAATGATGTTTTCAAGTACTGTTTAGGAAACCCTTTAAGAGAAAGAATGATTGCTGTTACCATTGCAAATTCTAAATCAGCCTTTTCTTGTTAGTTGCGAAGTCGTGTCTGACCCTTCGTGACCCTATGGACAACGTTCCTCTAGGGCAGTGGTTCTCAACCTTTTTAACACCACGACCCCCAACCGGTCGTAAGTCGAGGACTACTCAACTGGTGCAGCACCGTTTGCAGAATGGGACTTTTGGCGGGCTCAGCAGGGCAGAGACAGCCTGGGCAATTCCTATTGGCTTTTGAAAGCCAATAGAATTAGACTCTATTCAAGAGAGTCTATTCTATTGGCTTTCAAAAGCCAATAGAATAAAAGGGAGTAGCACAGCTAAGGAAAAAGGGGGGAAAATGGCGGACTGCATTGTTTGGCGACTCCCGTGAAATGGTCGTTCGACCCCAAATGGGGTCCCGACCCACAGGTTGAGAACCACTGCTCTAGGGCTTCCTATCCTCTACCATCTTCTGGAGTCCATTTAAGCTCACGCCTACTGCTTCAGTGACTCCATCCAGCCACCTCATTCTCTGTCGTCCCATTCTTCTATCTTTCCCAGCATTAGGCTCTTCTCCAGTGAGTCCTTCCTTCTCATTAGGTGGCCAAAGTACTTGAGTTACAACTTCAGGATCTGGCCTTCTAAAGAGCAGTCAGGGTTGATCTCCTCTAGGATTAACTGGTTTGATTGCCTTGCAGTCCAGGGGACTTGCAGGAGTCTTCTCCAGCACCGTAGTTCAAAGGCCTCAATTCTTTTGCACTCAGCCTTTCTTATTGTCCAACTTTCACAGCCATATATTGCAACTGGGAAAAACATGGCTTTGACTATACGTACTTTTGTTGGCAGGGTGATGTCTCTGCTTTTTAGTATGCTGTCTAGATTTGACATAGCTTTCCTCCCCAGGAGCAAGCGTCTTTTAATTTCTTGGCTGCAGTCCCCATCTGTGGTGATCCTGGAGCCCAGGAATATAAAATCTGTCACTACCTCCATTTCTTCTCCATCTATTTGCTAGGAATTGAGAGAGCCAGATGCCATGATCTTGGCTTTCTTAATGTTGAGTTTCAAGCCAACTTTTGCACTCTCCTTCTTCATCCGCATCAAGAGGCTCTTTAGTTCCTCTTTCTACACAGCCTTTTCTACACAGATGCTATTCAGATATATTATACTTCAGCTTCTTTAATTTTTAACTATTCTAACCTGTTTTAGCGAATAGACTCTTGCTTCCAGATATGTAGTGCCTTTAAAATCGACAGTTTTCAGCATATGCCTACAATTTTTCCTTTCATCTCTCCTTCCATTTCTGTTGTTGAAGCTTTACATGCACATTTTAATGCAGTCAAATTTTCTTCTCTTGCCTCTGCCCCCTCCCTTCTGATTAATAAAAGAGATATCAGTAAGTTAGGGGGACTTCCAGGTTTGTAGAAGTCTATTTCAAAATCATAGAGAGAAAATAAATACAGGGGGAAAAGAATGTAGGGCTTCAGTTTAAAAGTTGCCTTATGTGGGTTAATAGCATTACAGGCAAGGATTCCGATCATAGGGGAAAGTGTGTGGGCCCTTTTAATTGCAGGAGGTCATATATTCTACCAGCTGTGATGACAAGGTTTTGTAGAAGAAGGGAACTTCCATGCACAAAAAAGTTTGCCATCATAGCACATGGAAGCTAGAACCTTGACCTGTTATAGGCATTCAGCAACACTGTTGATTGTTTGGGCAAGCAGCTATATTTCTTTCTTACAAAACTAAAGCCATATTTGGAAAGCCCTGGGGAACTCTTAAAGATCACAGAAAACCAAATTAGAATGCAACCTTATAGAACTAGGCACACATGATGGAACAGTTAATGTGGCACTTTACAAATATTTCTTACTTGCTTACATTTAAAGTGCAGATAATTAGTGTCTAAGCAAAACGAATAATGCTTTTTCCTTTGACTTCTGTATGTACAGCTGCAGAAATATGTAGTCAATATCTCCAATTCACGTTGTCCTTCCCATTCCACACATAAGTTTAATGACAACAGTAAAGAGGAGATGGAAAAATTATAAGTAGTCCTCACTTACTGACTGCAGTTGGATAAGAACTCTGCCACTGAGCGATGCAGTCATAAAGTAAAACATTACATGACTGCACCAAATTTTTGATATCAGTTCCAGTACAACAGTCATTAAGAGAATCACTGTGTGTCGTTAAGTGCAACATCACATGACTATGACT